TCACAGCCACGCGCACACTCACAGTCGTGTGTAAATTTGTCATTTTGCGTGAGAATGATTCTAATTTTAATTGCATTGTGTAAATGGTGACTGATAATGTATTTATGTCGTGCCAAATGAGGCTTGCACAGCCCGAGTGAGTGTGTGTGAGAGACAGCACACACAAAGAAACTCACAGAAATGTATAGATGCATACTGCGGTAGAAATCTTTTTTACAAAATATGATTTAAGCAACATTAAACGGCCATGATGTTTCCCCGAATATTAATATCGACACGACTGCAATGTGACACTGATTTTATACAATAGTATTTAAATAAACAAGAAGTTAAAATAAAGAGACTTAGATTTTAGACAAAATATTGACTGTTTTTGCTCAATTTTGCTGATGAAAATAGTTCCGATCAAAGCCACAGCAGAACTGTTTTGTTTCCGAGCAACACACAGTGGTGTTTCATTACTGAATGAATCCACGTTTTTGAACGAATCGAGTGAGTCAATGATTCAGTGGCCCATTCGTAAAGACAGTCACATGCCTCGTTTCTGAATAAATCAGCCGTTTGAATGAATCGGTTGAATGAATGAATAAATGACTCACTCATTAAAACAGACATTTTTTCAACATTTATTTTTATGTTTAGAAAAATATGTAAAACATTAATCTTATAAAATTATTTATGCATTTTAAATTTTGCAGTGTAAATACATTTATGGCACCTCAGCTTCATCAAAAAGTCTGTGTAGATGCATCTAATGCCACATCAGATGCAGCTTCTGTTTCCTCAGCAGTGGAAAGATAGAGTTTGTTAATACTAATTCCATTTGAATGGTAACAACTCTACAGTTTCTTATTATTCTAACTGAATTAATTGAAACAAAGTAAGAATTTGATGTGAAAGAAGACCCATTTAATAAGGTTAGGGGAAAAGAGTGACCATTTATAAACATAGTGGGAAATGACATCTGTTTTGTTACATACAGCAACTCATTTTAAGTTAACCATTTATTTCTCTTTCCAGTCACAGAGCACTTTATTTTAAGAGTTGTTTAAGTGAGAGAAAATCTGTAACTTAGTCCAGATTGGGGGAATTGTAATGTTTAATAATTTTATGTAAATCATTTTTTTATTTTGCATTGAAATTTGCATAGATTTTTGTTTGTATATGCTGTCAATTATAGTTTTTAGAAAGAAAATCGGAATCGGCAAAAATCAGTATCGGCAGGGCACACTTCCAAAAAAATCGGAAATCGGAATCGGCCAAGAAAATTGCAATCGGTGCATCTCTAGTTGGAAAGATCACACGTGACGTGAATGTATACGTGAAATGTATTTCGCTAGGAAAAAAACATGGCCTTTCCAGCATGATTACGTAATGTGTGAAGTCATGAATGCACATCGCAGAGCTAGTTCAACAGGAGCATGTGTGGTTAAAGCGAATAAAATTTATTTATTTTTTTTAAAGAAAATGACCAATCATTTCACTAGATAAGACCCTTGTGACTCTGCGATCGTGTAGAGCCCTTTGAAGCTGCATTTAAACCACAATTTGGACCCTTCAACCCCTTGGTCCCTGTTGAAGTCCACTTGATGGAGAAAAATCCTGGAATGTTTTCCTCAAAAAACTTAATTTCTTTTCGACTGAAGAAAGAAAATCATGAACATCTTGGATGACATGGGGGTGAGTAAATTATCAGGAAATTTTAATTCTGGAGTGAGCTGATCCTTTAATGTACATCTGTGCTTCTAGGTAGCCCTGCCCAACATTAGAACTCATTGATCCAAAATCCTTCTCATAAACGTACATTAAGCATCACAATAATCAATCATATAATTAGCTGTAGATGTGTCAGCATTTTAGGGTTGCATTGAGTGACATGATGTACCTGCTCGGCGGCCTCTCGGCTCATGGCAAGGGCCAGTTGCAACTGTAGCTCCTCTTCTCCACTCGTCTGAGGTCTGGCTTGCTCCAACTCTGAAGATGCATTGGGAGATGTGGCTAAAAACAAACAAACAAAACACACATATGATGACATTATCATTCAAGCACTGCACTGCTACCACACCCGGCTGGGTTATCTTAAGTCAGGGCACGGGTGAGCCAACATTAGACATTAAAATGACTGTTGAGCGGGTTTTATCAGTTACTCATACACCACGACACAAGAACAACGCAAAATGTTCTTGCTACGGCTCTTATCAATCACTTAACATCTGTCACCAAATGACTAAGTTGTTGTTTAAAAAGGCAAAAGTGAATACTGAATGAACATTCATGAAAGTGTTGCACGTGCCAGGCCAGAATGAAGCAGCCAAACTGGGTAAATCACAACGGCCTACTGATTATAAGCTTGTTGCTAAACCAGCGGACAAGAGTATTTCAATACTGACTGGATTAGGCCAAGCCATGTGTTTAGAAAACACAAGTATCTCTAGCCATTTCGGAGCACATGGATCAGTCGCAGGCCATTGAGAGCCAAAACACCTTAGAAAGTACAGGTCACAAGGCCAGAATTAACACTACGCTCAAAACAACCACAACTGCTCAAACTATTAGCACATGACGTGACAAAAAGAGCTGCACGTTTGTGTTAAGGCTCTGATGTTTTAAGTCACCATCATTAGTCTAGGCATTTTTGTTGTAAGCAGCATCAATCAATAAACTGCTCGTCTGTAATCCATAAGATCTCTGAGAGCCATTAGGCCTAGTCTTGATGTATGGCTTCAGTAACGATCAGAAACACTGGACCTGGAGAATCTCAGTGCCTTTTGAAACACAAGCTTCCCGGTTTCTAAACCCTGAGGGACTAGAAATTACGACCTAAGGGCTTGAGTCAATGGGAAAAGCAGTAGAGGCGAACAGGGGAAATGAGGTAGCGTGGGTGTGGAGCTTCGGTGAGATCACAGATGACATCACAAGTGCTTCCAGTCCGCACCACGCCACCCTTACTGGGCTAAAATGGAAATATGACTCATATGCCAACTGCATGGTTCAAAGTCAATTTCTCAGAATCATAATTTAAATAGCAAGGTTGATTTTTCAATCATAGTCACTGAGAGACCTTTTTTATTACTGGCATAAAGAGTAGTCTACTTTTCTTTTTTAGCTTATTTTGGCCAATAACCACAAATACAGACAGTAAGAGACTGACTGACATGCAAATCAACCAATCTGATTTGAGTCAGCCAGATGAAAAAGTGCCTTCCACGTTTGTATGCAAGCAGACAGTCAGTGAACGGACCGTCTCAATAAATAGTCTCAGCCGGCACAACCAATGGACTTCTTATCCATCATTGTGGGGCTGAGACCAAGACTATTTTATTAATAAATATGGTACTGTTCATCAAATATGCTGACATTGAGGCTACACACAAGCAAAGTGCAACCACTATACACTACCACGCTTTTTTTATTGCCATACCAGCATATGGCTATTTTCGTTACTGTCTGAAACAAAGCGTGGGTGTTTAACTACCTTATTGGCCCGAATATAAGACGACCCCCCTTTTTCCAGATGTACTTTTTGGAAAAAGGCGTTTTAAAAAACAAATCTTGTTTTTTCTCAGTAAAACACATTTTGTCTTCAATTATTTTCATATTGCATATTTTTCCTATTTTAATTTTTGTTTTGAAAGTATGCTAAAAACTGGTAAAATGTACCAACATTCACATTTAAAAAATATACACTTTTTGATAACATTTAAAAAAAATAAATAAAATAAAATAAAATAAAAAATAAACCAACAACAGGTAGCCCATCCAAATTAGGACATTTAGGCTATCCATCTAATAGTAGCCTACCAAAATCTTATTAACAGTAGAAGTTAAATCTTACTGTAGTCTTCAAATCTGGGTACTGTCTTACGTTTTAAAATCACAAAGGGAGTTTGGTCCCATCAGGCTAACGTGACAGTCACGACTTCATTTCCAGCGTTATCGTTGACATAATTGCAAAGATATTATTTAAACTGAGCTGGATGCTGACATCACTGAATTCAATGATGAACTGTCTTTAACTGAAAAATGAGTGTTTACTATTGTCACTTTGCATTATTGACACTATTTTCCTAATTAATGCTGTTCAGTTGCTTTGACACAATCTGTATTGTTAAAAGGTGACAGTTACGACTCATGCAGCTGTAAGGTTTTCTTTTTCTTTTGTTTTTACTCGCGATCTTTACAACACGCATTACATTACATATTTCATGGCACACTCGTTTTATGCGTATTTGGCGCCACCTATTGTTGTGGGTGTATTATTGACATGTTAAAGTCTAGACCCTGAATATAAGACGACCGCGTTTTTTCAGATGCATTTCCAAGAAAAAAAACATTGTCTTATATTCGGGTCAATACGGTAATAGTTAAGTGTTTAACTACGTAGTCCAATAATTATATCAGTTATATCTGAAATATATGTATTTATATCCAGCAAAAAAGCACCAATGTTTTTGCAGTTTGGAGGCATGAGCAGAGTTTGGCTGCATTATGTTGGTTGGCACAAAGGTAGGGATGCTCCGATTGATCGGCTACCGATCACTATCGGCCGATAATCACGTTGGGATGATCGCTCGGCGGTCTCTAAAAGGCCGATCTCAAAAAACTGATCTCAAGCTGATGCTGCCGTGAGAGGTTTGGCACGGCATGAAGTGGCACCGTCTCAGTCTGGCGCGGGTGAAATAATAGGTACTCACCTTCATATTTTTTCATTAAATAACTTATAAAGTAATTTGAAAACCTTGTGAGACGTAATTTCACAAACAGCGTGAGTGAATCATCGCTCTCTCTCTCAAAATACGCAAATGTCTTCAAATCACCACATCGCTTCTACCTATAAGCGAGCTGCACGCTGCACAGTTGACACAGGAATTGTCACTTGCACAATCGAGGCAGTGTCACATCGTCACTAAAGTTGATAAATTGCATTTCTTTTTAATTCTTGCCTGTGTTTAACCATTCAGCGGTCGCGCGCTCATGCACACTAGCAGCAGACACGCATAATGCCAGGTTCACATTACTCCGTTTGCAGTGCATACGTGGTGGGTATTTTTTCCGCGCTCATGTTAACGGATAAAAACGTTCACTGCACACGGTTGCGGTCCGGCAGTGCGTTCAGGAGCGGTGCGTCTGCAGCAGTGCAGAGATCGTATCCACACCGAGTCTACTGCTGCACTGCAAGCGCTGAATTAAAGTAACAGCACATTGTTTGCAGTAAATATGAACATGACTTGACACGAAAATGTAGTAATTACACCATAAATGCATATTATTAAAGTCTACTGTGTTTCACAGTCCACACATGTGGCTTTTTGGCTAGGTTTAAAGGGAAAGAGCACTTTTAGATAAAGAAGGCAATAATAGATGGCACTCGTAGAGGTAGAAAAACAAAGTTCTTTATGAACCACACGATTGCTTGTAATAAAGATTTAAGCAAAGGCAGTAGAGCCGTCTATTTCTGTCAACGGTAAGTTTGTGATAACGTAAGAAAAGTAGTTTAAATGTTTTGCAAATTGCTTGAGCAACTTAATATATAAATCTAGACGTAAATGCAAAAGTAAAAAGCATTGAATAATGTGTTGCTTATATTTATTGTGCTTAAACATGTCTGTGAAAGATTGTATTACTGTACTGTGTAAAAAAATTATTGCAATTCTGAAAAAGCATTTTCAGTGACAATGCTTGGATTTGAAATCAAAATAATGGATAAATGTTGTGTTTGTGGTAAACAGCCACGGATTAGTAGTGGACTCCTGTGTGAAAGCTGCTTCACCTCTCACAAGAGTCAACTAAGAGGGGAATTCCCCCCATTTTCAAAAATGAAATTCAGGCCCTGAATAAATGTCTAAAAATCCTGATTGGAGTATCACTATAAATAGTTATAAATTATAAAAAGAAGGCTTTAAAAATATCGGTATCGGTGATCGGTATATACTACTTTCTGTGATCGGCTTTTAAAAATCCTGATCGGAGCACCCCTATATAAAAGGCATCCAGAATCTATTTTAAACAAGGTCAAGATCTTTCCCGAGCTATTGGTTTAATTTGCTGTCCTTTGGCCAAGAGGGTGTCATTCACTGCTCTGAAAACAAAACTTAGGATCTAAGAAAAATGGTTAACAGCTTGACATTTCACTGTTATGCAGCTTTAAATACTTTGTCTTGGATATGTGCACCTATGAATGTCTCACACAATTTACCAACACAATGAGCTTTTTATGTGCATGAAAATGATAATGGGGGTGTTTTCAGTGTAAGCAAAAGCTTAAAACGTCCCGGACACCATAAAATAATTTTGATTCAATGAAAAAAGGTGCGCACAAGGGGAAAAATGCTTGTTTTGACATCTGATGATGACTTCATATTAAGAGGTTTCTAATTTAGAAACTAAAAAGGTTTTAGAGGTTTTCCGTCAACTGTTTTATAAGCAGTACAGTCACACTTCATTTCACACGACCAGAGAAGTAATACACAGCATGTGAGTTATTTCAAGAACACCTAAAACACTGCTATGTAAAACTGCAAAGGATTTTGTTAATCACTCCAAAAGAGACAATAATTGGTGGCAAAATTGTATATTGTGCTTCAAATTGCAAAAAATAATAAAATATCTAAAATACATGGCCAAAATGTTCTTTCTTTGGTTGTCGAGTAAAAACAAATGCATGCAATGACATAGATAAGGGCCTTTTATTTTTAGCATATATTTTTATGATTTTGCTGGACAGTCATCACGTTTAAGCTAATGTTTACTTGACAAGATCTATGTATGTGTGTTGATGCTTATACACAAATAAAATCATACATTTAATCTGCTCATATAAAGTGACAGAGTCTCTTCAGAAGACTTGGTTTAAACTGCTCAATTCATATGGATTACTTTTACAATGTCCTTTTAGTGCTTTAAGCTTGAAAATATAGTCATTGATTACATAGACATTCAAATGGATTAACAAAAATGAGAGATATTTTTATCTTAATTTGTGCTCAGAGGAAAAATGA